TCTGGCTGGAATACCTGCCAGATCTGTCTCATTAGTGGCCTTCCTGGGGGTACAAATGTTGGCTGTGCCATTTACATTTTTGACACCTAGGGCAATGAAGAGGAGAAAAGTACCTTCTATTGGCATCAGGAAATAGATCCCAGGTCTCCACTCAGCAGCCTCTCTCCACTCCCTTCCTTATTCACCTTGTCCCGTAGCCCAGCCCAGGGTACCAGGATTTGTGGCTGGTAGTCTCTTTTCTAAGAAGTCCCCAAAGCCCATATTCCCCTTCAGCTCAGAAAGCAGAGCAGGGACAAGTGGGCCCGCACTCCCTGCATTCCCCACCCCTACCCCCAGAAGCTTCCATTGTTCTTGGCCATGAGCTCTTTGGGCCTGACTACCCATCTCTTTCATCCTTCTACATACACATCAACACACACGTGCACAAACCATGCTCCAGAGCAATGTCACGTGGTGGGAAGAGAGTGGGAACTGGTGCTAGAAGACTTGAGCTGTCCTCGTGGCTGTGTGACATGGGCAAGTCACTCATACACTCCCCGCCTCAGTCTCCTCAGCAACTGATAGAGACCATAATGTGTTAAATGAAAGAGTTCATGAAGGCTTCTTTTGTGTTATTTTAACTCTTCTGTTTTCATTTCTAATTGTAATAGAACCTCTGTAAGTTGACCACCCCAGGGACTGTAACAAAGTGGTCAGCATACAGAGGTGGTCAATATAAGGAACAAGGCCTACTGTACTGATATGTACTTGTGGCCCATGTCTGGTCTATGAGTTAGCTCAACTTGAGGAGATCAATGCAGACAGGTGGTCAACTATGGAGGTTCTACTGTATACATTTATCCACATATTTCACTTTTCACTAAAATAGTACAGGTAAAGCATTGTTTTGACTGTGTGGCTCTCTGCCTTCCCCAGTGGGAACTGCTGTTTCTCCTTCCAGACCTTTCTGTGTGCATTTCCTAGATGGTTGCTATACAGCCTCCTCTGACAGGCATAGCTTAATGGGATCAGATGACATGGATTTTTTGGCAACTTGCTTTTTTCTCAGTAGTATCAGAAATACTGCTATGTACTGCTGCCCACAGGTTATTTATTTAACTGTCCTCCTGTGGATAGAGTTTGGGTTGTTCCCAGCATTTCACTGTTAGAACCCACACTGCAAAGAATGGCCTGGGGGGTGCCACTGTGCACCCTCATGCTGGCTTCTCTGTAGGACAGACCCAATCCACGTGCTATATTTTATGCTGGTTCACCACATTGCAACCCCAGCTTTTTGTATTCAGTGCCTGCCTGCTGGAGGCTCTGAGCTGGCTTGCTGTGGCACATTCTCCCAGAGCTCCCAGCCTCACCTCCGGGGGCACGTTCAGGGAGGACAATAGACATAAAAGCTTGTATCCTGGGCACAGCAGGGTCAGGCGAAGTGCGTGGCCAGAGGATCCAGATCAGGTCCAGCCCTGGTCACAGGGTAAAGCAGGGAAGTTTTGCCCACTCTCTCCCAGTAAGCCCACTCTGTCCCCATCTCTACCAGAACAGGAGACAGATGATCTGGTCCCACCACAAGATGAGCAACTATTAGCAAGTCACCTCTCTCTTTCCTCATAAGTAAAATAGTGATAATGCCACCTCCTAGGGGAGAGAGATGAGATGAAGTCCTCGTCCCACTGCTTTCTGTTGGCCCACCCCACACGCTCCTGCAGGGTCTTGTGTTCCGCTGACTTCAACCTTGAGCACCTGCTGCCCTCTTAGGTGTTAGTAGTCAACTCAGTTACTAGCTCTCAGCTAAGGTCTGAGCTGCCAGCTAAGATGCTAACTATAATCAAGACATCTCAGCCAAGACGTTAGATAACAATGCTTTCCTTACCCACAGAGACACTAGCAGACTACTTGCCCTAAAATGACTGCATTGCCTTGCCAGAATCTTGGATAATGTCTTTTACCCTCAGTAGACTGTCAGTTCTAAGGATCACGTTCTTTAGAACATAGTAGATGCTCAGTAAATATTGCTGGGGGTAAATGAATACAAAGCCTTTGGTTGACTCACATGCAGGAGGTCACAGTGATGGGATGGGTGGTAGCAGGCAATGGAGTTGAAACTTGATGTAGGCCATCCCAGAGAGCTCCGAGCAGATAAGCATCCCTGACCATAGGCCAAGGGCAGGGACAGAAATTGTTTCATCCCCCTTCTCTCTAAGAGAAAAGTCAGCTAGCTGCTCTAGGAGCATCCTGGGTGAGGTGTTCCTTGAAGGGGCCACTCCTAGACCTGGGCTGGTCTAATCTTCCAGGTTGAGAGATTTGATTTCATTAGCTCACCCAGGGGTGACCAGGCTCTGGGAAATCAACCAAGCGAGCTACTGATTGATAAGGCAGATCAGCAGTTTATTAACTTCTGCTGGCAGCCGTGACTGCTGAGCAGCCTGTAGTGTTTGAGTTGGTCCCTCTGCCTGCTTGTTCTAGCTACAGAGGGAAGCTTAGTTGGGAATGCAAATTAAATAGAGAGGAGCAGAGTGGAATGGAGTGAACTCTCACTGGTGAATAGTGATAGTAGATGCCATGTAACTGTCATGTTTTTACCCTCAAAACCCCACCATGCTGTGGGCATTGTTCCTATCCCATTTCGTAGATGGGAACATTGAGGTCAAGTGAGCGGCTCCACTACCCAGCAGGCATTCCAACTCCTGTCCCCGCTGCCCCCTCAGTGCTGCTGAGTTCAGGAGCCTGACACTCCCTGTACAGGGTTCCTTGGTCCTAGCCGTGGCTCCCATTTTCTCTCTGTTAAGGCCACACAGCTCCCCTGAGGAACATTTCTGCCTCCCTGAGACACCTGAGTCTCATCAGCCGTATACCTATACACATTCTCAAAGGGGCACCTCTCCTTCTGCAGATAATAACATAAAGGCACATTAATGGCTACCATTCATTAGGTGCTCGCCATGTGTCAGGTACCACACCAGGCTCCCTCCATGCATTACCTTGCTCTCAAACAATCTCAGGAGACAAGCATTCTCCCCTTTACAGATGAGGACTCACAGGCTGAGAGATTAAATACCTTGCCCAGGGGGCCACAGCTAGAGAGTGGCAAAGCAGAGACTGGAATCCAAGTCAGGTTGACTTTCAAGCCTGTACTTGTAATCCCCACCCTCACCTCCCTACCTTCAACTGACCTGCCTTGATATCCCAAGTGCTGGCGTTGTTCCCTGTGTGCTCTGGGTGGGGGTGGGGAACAGAAATTCTTCTAGGATTCCATGGGGCTGTGTCTAAAGCTACTCTGAAGTCTGGGAGTCAAGAAGTCGGTGGCTAGGCTCGGCGCCTATAGCTCAACCGGCTAAGGCGCCAGCCACGTACACCTAAGGTGGCAGGTTCAAATCCCCAGCCCGGACCCGCCAAACAACAATGACGGCTGCAACCAAAAAATAGCCAGGCGTTGTGGCAGGCGCCTGTGGTCCCAGCTACTTG